ATACAGAGTCAATTTGTATAAAAGAATAAAGTTTAATAACACAACAAAACACAAATATTTCTTCAAACAGGGGACATGGAAATGAGGAGCAGTCTCTCAGTTATGTGTCTCAGAGCTGTGTGTAACTCCAGCTTTCATTGTGAAACCAGTCTCTAGGGGTGGAATGCAAGGGGTACTGCGAGGGACTGGGAATATGCATGGAATGTGGTGGGGGCGTTTGGGGAGGGCATGGAATGGAGTTCTGTATTGGCAGTAGAGGGACTCGTGCATGGATGTGCTCTGACTGTAGCCTAATGAGCGACTTGAGCATCTCTCTGTGGTCCTCCAGTAGCTTAATCATCCTCTATGGAGGTTTCCTGGGACCTCCCGGTCTACATTAACAAACTTTTCTGCCGGGCCCGCGCTGTGTATCTGCATATGTTCTGTTGTTAATTTCTTTCCCTTATCCATCCTTTACCATATAACAAAGTACATGAGAGCTCAATCTCCTCTCACCATGAAGTATCAAAGCAAAATGCGTGCTTACCCATGCTCGTGTCCCCTGCTTCAGGCATGCCAGAGCCAGAGTGTTGGGACTGGCTATACCCCTCTGGAGTCAAAAAGAGGTCCTATTGTGTGTTCCACCTCCTCCTCCAACTCCATTTCCTCATCTACACTTAATCCTCGGAGTTGACTGCGCTGGCCACTGCCTCTAGTCCCCTTGAAGTATCCACGGGGCTATTGGCGGTAGAGGTGAGGTTGCCACCAAGGATGGCGTGCAGCTCCTTGTAGAAGCGGCATGTCTTCAGTGCTGCACCAGAGCAATGGTTGGCCTCCCTTGCCTTCTGGCATGCCTGCCTCAGCTCCTTGATTTTAACATGGGCCTGCTGCGTGTTCCTTTCGTGCCCCTTCTCCTGCATGCCGCTAGCAATCAGCCCATAGGAATCAAAGTTCCTAAGTCTAGAGCAAAGCTGCAACTGCACAGCCTCCTCTCCCCACAGACCCAGTGTGATCCAACAGCTCCGGTGTATTCCATGGGGAAGCACATCTGTTGCAGAAAGCCAGCATGATCACCTGGGAAGATGCTGTGTGAACTGTCCAGGCCGAGCAAACAGGAAGAGAAATTTCAAAAATTCCCAGGCCTTTAAAAGGCGGAGGGGTACATACATGTGTACCTTCAGGGCAGAGGAGTTCAAACTGATGACCAGACCGATCAGGTTAGGGTGACATACAAAAGCGCAGTGTCTACATTGAAGCTGTGTCACTCTAAGTATGTCACAAAAAGCCCTATGCCTTTCATCGAGGTGGATTTATTATGTCAGCATAGCAGGGGAGTTATATCGGTAGGAGGAGCATTGCAGTGTGTACACCTCTACTGTTTTGTCAATGAAAGCTCACTTTTGTTGACAAAACTGTGTAGCGTAGACGAGGCCTTAGAGGGACAGTTTTCAGAGGCATAAAGAGCTGTTAGGCACCGAACTTCCATTCACTTTCCATCGGAGTTGGGTACCTAACTGCCAGTTGTGCCTTTGAAAATCTCTCCCTCAACCTTTTTAAAAATGAAAGCTTAAATTCTGAAACATAATTTTGAGGGACATGTTGGTTTGTGTGGCAACTGCCACAGCTGTGGAATTGCTGAATACATGGAATCTTGATCGCAATAGAGCAGTTTAGTTTTAAATAAAATATTTAAATGACTTTTCAGAAGTTGGCAACAATCCATGAATATTATTGAATTATATGAGGTCTGAGACCAAATATCACTCTAGCTGTGCACTGTATATGAAATATAGGGTTAGAGTCTGGGCTGTGCCTCTAAAGCCTAAGCGATAAACCATCTTTGTGCCCTCCTAATCCTAGGCTGTCTGGGGGGTTGGAGAGGCCCCTTGCATAACTTAACTTAGGTCCCAGGGCTAAGGCAGCCTCCCCATTGCCCTGTGGGTTGCAATGTTGCCCAAAATCTCTGCAGTTCTGTGACCCATTCCTCCAACATGCCTTACACCATCCCTGCTCCCAGCATGCCCCTATGCCAGGGCTTGTAAGGATGTCCTCAAGAGTGGTCTTCCACTGTGCGTGCACCATTGCAGTACCCTCAGTGAGGTACAGGGCTCTTAAGACTCTTTTATGCTGCTTTGGCTGTTTTATGTGGCATAAAGGGGCTGTAATGAGAGCGCGGATTTCACTCCCAAACTTAGTTGACTGTAAACTTACATAGCAGGGGTGGAGAGAGAGAGAACCTTAGACAGAAGAGTTTGATGACACGTCCTTATATTTGTAAAAACTTTTCTACATCACATCCTTTTCAGAGGATTGTATGGGATGGGAGACTGGTTTTTCTCATGAACTTGTTCATCTTATAAGGCGAAGGTAGCATTAAAATGCCAAAGTGAATTTTAAGATGAGCTGATGTACACCACAAGGCTGTAAATCATTTAATAGGATGGATAATGATTTTGCACACTACATTTTATTAAGGAAAAAGGCAAAGCTGGCAAATTTAAAACATGCTGAACAGGAGTGTAACTTGAATTATTATATAATTACAAAACAAATCATGCTGAACTTGTAAGTATTGGATTGCTTGGTAGATTGGGCCCAAGTAAACAATATGCATTTTAATATGGTCAAATATAAAGTTATACATCTAGGAACAAAAGAGGTAGGCTATACTTACAGGATGGAGGACTCTTTCCTGGGAAGCAGCGACTTTTATGAAGTCTTGTGGGTCATGATGGATAATCAGCTGAATGTGAGCTCCCAGTCTGAGGCTGTGGCCAAAATATTTAATGTGATCCTTGAATGTATAAAAACAGAGGAATATGTAGTAGGAGTAGGGAGTTATATTACTTTTGTATTTAGCACTCGTGTGACTACTGGAATACTGTGTCCAGTTCGGATGTCAACAATACAGGAAGGATGCTGATAAATTGAAGAGGGTTCAGAGAAAAGCCATGATAATGATTAAAGGATAGGAAAACACGATTTATAGTGAAAGCCTTAAGGAAGCTCAATCTGTTTAGAATAGAACCTCAGAGTTATGAATACCGGAGTGATGAACTGACCAGTCAACCACACACCTCATTTGGAACTGGAAGTACACAATCAGGCAGTAGCAGAGATCACAAAAAAAAAAAAGCAAATACAGTACAGTACTATGTTAAATGTAAACTATTAAAAAATAAAAGGAAAACACAGCATTTTTCTTCTGCATAGTAAAGTTTCAAAGTTGTATTACGTCAATGTTCAGTTGTAAACTTTTGAAAGAACAACCATAACATTTTGTTCAGAGTTACGAACATTTCAGAATTATGAACAACCTCCATTCCTGAGGTGTTTGTAACTCTGAGGTTCTACTGTAGTTTAACAAAGAGAAGGTTAAAAGGAGACTTGATCACAGTCTATAAGCACCCAGATCTGGAACAAAAAATTGATAATGGACACTTCAGTCTAGCAGAGAAAAGTATAACATGATCCAATGGCTGGAGGTTGGAGTTAGAGACATTCAGACTGGAAATAAGGTGCAAATTTTTAACAGTGAAGTAACCATTGGAACAATTTACCAAGGATTGTGGTGGATTTCCATCACTGGCAATTTTAAAATCAAAATTGGATGTGTTTCTAAAAGTTGTGCTCTAGTTCAAACAGGAATTAATTTAGGGAATCTTATGGTCTGTTTCATACAGGAGACCAATCTAGATCTTAGTGGTCCTTCTGACATTATAATCTATGAATCTATAAGAATTTAATTCTTTTCTTTGTAATCACATGAGAATGCATCTCCTACTGTGCATGTCCAAATAGTTACAAGTCTGACTATTTGCACAAAGGCCAAGTTCTACTTACTCCCACTCTGTACCCCTCCAGTCTGTCCAAGATGATACCTTCAAATTCCTTTCCTGTGTCTTCAGCCATATTGGATTTAAACCCCGTGCCTTCACCTTTAAGGCTCTGCTTAGCTGGGGGTCCTGGTCTATGGATTAGGGCTCACACGACAGTAATACAACTTCTACAAATAATGATATTACTTTGCTCTGCTCTGCCTGTCTTTTATCAGTTTTTCATGTGTCATGTTCACAAAGTGAGCCAATGAAAAGTCTGAGTAAACAGCAGAACAGAACCTTCAAACCCACATGGGGCAAGAGGAACAATGTTCATATTATGTTTTATGTATAGTGTTGGTATGGTGTTGCTCACAGTAAACTACTTCCTATGAAAGCATGTCATTTTAACTTCATCTCTTAAATATCTGCAAAAGTCTGTCTCAAGATCATTAACCCTCAGTTATTAATTTTGATCATATTCTGTAACTTATTTTTGAAACAGATTAAATTTACTTCATTTTGTAGGTTCTGGCTGAGATCTTTAACTCCCCTTATTTGGGGAGTTAAAGATCATGCTTGTCATGTGAGTAAAACACAGGACTGGAACCTTATTGTTGGTTGTGCCACAGACTCTTTTATGTTGCCTTTAAAAATCCTTTTAACCTCTTTGTGCCTCAGGTTCTCCACCTGTAAAATGGGTATAATAATATTTCCTTTCCACACAGAGATGTTGTAAAGATTAATTCGGTTTATACTTATAAAGTGCTTTAAAGTCCTAGAATAGAAGTGCAAAATATGATGATTTATTTTGTGTGTTATGTAGCTTCTAGCTGAGATCTGACACTCCACTTGTGTTTTGTATCTGGGTAAATGCATGTCATGTAGTTCTGTTGTCTCTCAAAGAGCCTTGGCATATTTCCATGCAGGGCTGGCTCCAGGCACCAGCGCCACAAGCAGGTGCTTGGGGCGGCCAACGGAAAGGGGCGGCACATCCAGCTCTTTGGCGGCAATTTGGCGGCGGATCCCTCAGTCCCTCTCGGGGGGAAGGACCCGCCGCCGAATTGCCGCCGAAGAATGAAACCGCCGCCGAAGTGCTGCTGATCACGGCTTCCCCCCCCCCCCCACCACCACTTGGGGCGGCAAAAACACTGGAGCCGGCCCTGTTTCCATGGTGCTTATTTCAGCTTGTTTCTCTTACAGAGTGTGAATATAGAGAAACTACAGGGGACATCTATCAAAATTTCTACTGAAGATGGTTTGTTGAAAACCAAATATCTTTATGCAGAATCTTCATTTCTGTCTTCAACAGCTGGTGATATTCTACTGGGAAGTATTCATGGTAAGACAGAAAAGGCAAAATACAGTCTGGAATTTAGCAGATGTGCAGGTATCTATAGTGTTAATTATAAAAACAAAATGACTGCTCCCATGAGGCTGGGCCCTAAATAATCAACTGCAGACACAGCAGCTGAGCAAACCAGACTCAAACAGTTCAACACTGGCAAATGCTAAAATGATGAGATCACCATATATAAGACAAGTTAGTTAATTCTTCCTCTGCTGTAAATAATATTGTATTTTAAAGATACTTCCATAAGTAAGCTTGTTATAGTAAGGAAAAAGCATAAAAAGAAGAAACATACCACATTTTTAGGGATATAAATTAACAATTTGCCATAGAGTTAAATAGTAGAAAATACAACAAATAAAAGGAGCATCAGTGGTAAAATTATACTTTGTTTTTAAATATCTGTTTTTATCTCTTAACAGAAATCAAAGGGGTTAACATGTTTAACAAGACTTCTGGATAGTATTTGGTTACGATGACTTAAAGTGATACTGTTTTTATTAGAAGTATTTTCTCTGTGTTTGTGCTGGCGTCCTGTATAGCTAGTACACTGCCAATTTACAATTTTCCAGGTCAAATGTCATATTTTTTCCCCAAATGTTTTTCATCCAGAATTGGAAGGATGGCTAACATGGGTCTCTTTCATATTAGTAATAGTGGTTGGAACTTGGTCCCCAGTAATAATTCACCAGAATTCCCATTGAGCACCTCCTCTCTGTTCTTGATGTGTTTATAGTGATTTTGAAGCTAAGTTAGACAAACTGGAACATGTACCAGCAGTGAAAATTACTCACATTGGCACAAGTTCCAATCTTTAGCTATAGGCTACCAAAACAACTTGCTGCAATTTCATGAAGGCTGCAGATTTTTACCTCACTGCAGAAATGCTGCTTCTCCCTCTGATCCTTATTAAAAAAAAACACTCCTCTGTCAATTATAGAAAACTGAAAACTGATTGATAAACTTCCTGGCTAAAGTTCCAGCCTTTAGAATGGAACCAGCCTCTCTGACAAATGAGGCATAAATAAATGTAATTACATAAATACTATATTTAGTTGCTGTTCAGTCCATTAAGCCAATATGCTGACTTTTACTAAGTAATCTTCTAAGAACTAAGTTCTTAATGTGGAATGGGGGTAGGAGTTAGTGTTGGGGGAGGGGGCGGGTCTCCATGAAAAGCTTATTTTGGCTGTTTCAAGCCAAAAATGAAACAGTAACAATCATACTTGAAGGTAAATCACTTTCACAATCCACATATCTAAAGCTGTGTTGTAATTTCGGTCAGGAACAGCATGAATGCAAATAGAGCTGTATCCAGATTAAACAAATAGTTCTTACCTTACTTCATGTTTATTTTCATAAAGCTCTACATTAAATGGTTCTGGAACTCTTAACACTTGCTCTTTTAACACACAATTCTTTTTAAAACGTTGCTTTTAAAAACAAAAGCAAAAGTAGATCTAAGTTTATTTAATACTTTGAGTGCCTTTTTATGGAACAGTAATTCTTTGTAAACACAGCAGACAAGTATAAAGATCTATTCATGATTATATAGTGCACATGTTATAACACATGTTTTTAACCTGATGGTGAAACTTTAAGACAAATCTTATTTTAAAATAATATAGTTCTCTATTTTAGTAATAACACCATAGATTAGTAAAAATGACAATTTTTACATTTGAATTTACTCTTTTGCCATTTGTTTACTTTGCATTTCCCTTAGCTTGAAAATTGTAATGAGTTATTTTTATTTTTAGTTCTAGTGTATTTTGCTTCCTGTGTCTCCTGAATGAGCACAAAGCTGCAACATTTAGATTGTAAACCCATCAGGAGAGTGTTTATTTGTTCATTAAACCCACTATATCTTGTAACTAACATATATGGCTAGGGCCCTACCAAATTCATGGCCCTGAAAAACGCATCATGGACCATGAAATCTGGTCTTTTGTGTGCTTTTACCCTATACTATACAGATTTCACGGGGGAGACCAGTGTTTCTCAAATTGGGGGTCCTGACCCAAAAGGAAGTTGCAGGGGGGTCACAAGGTTATTTTAGGAGGATCGCAGTATTGCCACCCTTACTTCTGCACTGCCTTCAGAGCTGGGCAGCCGGAGGGCGTTGGCTGTTGGCCGGGCACCCAGTTCTGAAGGCAGCGCCCTGCCAGCAGGAGCGCAGAAGTAAGGATGGCAATACCATACCATGCCACCCTTACTTCAGAGCTGCTGCCTTCAGAGCTGGGCGGCCAGAGAGTGGTGGCTGGTGACTGAGGGCCTAGCTCTGCAGGCAGCAGTGCAGAAGTAAGGGTGGCAATACTATACCATGCCAGTCCTTATTCTGTGCTACTGCTGGCAATGGCTCTGCCTTCAGAACTGGGCTCCTGGCCAGCAGCCACCGCTTTCCAGCTGCCCAGCTCTGAAGGCAGCACCGCCGCCAGCAGCTGCGCAGAAGTGAGGGTAGCAGTACCACAACCCCCCCTACAGTACCTTGCAACCCCCACACAGCTCCTTTTTAGGTCAGGACCCCTACAGTTACAACACCATGAAATTTCAGATTTAAATAGCTGAAATCATAAAATTTACAATTTTTAAAATCCTATGACCGTGAAATTGACCAAAATGGACTGTGAATTTGGTAGGGCCCTATATATGGCAAATACCTCTGGCCTGGCTCCAGCTAAGATGGCAAAGTTTACTCTTTCCAGGCCAAACCTAGGATCAAAGGGGATGCTTAAACCTTAAAATTGCTGGTCTAGAGAAGAAGGGGGGCAGTGAGGGGTTTGAGTGAGTAGCCAGAGGCTCCCCAGGGAGTGTCAGTGAGCATTGATGGGGATTCAGAGAGAGAGAGAGAGACGGAGACGGAGAGTACACTGCAGCAGGGCACACTGTTTCTCCCAACCCAGAGATGGAGGTAACTGGGCTAAATGGAACTTACTAAAGCTTGCAAGGAAAGATAAGGTTTTGGTAAGGGGAAATGTAGATAGGCCTTCTTTTGTTATATACATTTGCTCTGCTTACTGTGTAGGCAGAGTGAATAAATAATGCTTTGTTTTGAAGAAGTTGTTTTTGAGTCATTTAATCAGCTGCTGTCATAGGCTTCTGGAGGTAAAGAGCTTACAGGTGCTAAATGCAATTGAGCCTGTTTGGTTAACACAGATGGTAAAGAGGGGGCCTGCAGCCCAGAAATCCAGTTTAGAACCACATCGTTGCTCCCAGAGAAGGAGGGGTGATGGTGGCAAAACCTGTCCCCAGAAGGGTGCACTTGAGAGAGATTAAAAGGGTTCTAAGTGCAGCTTGCCTTGTAACTATCACACAAAGCCTCAACCTGATTTAAATAAATTATTTTTAAAATCGAGTGATTTAAATTAATTATTTAAATTCCCTGAATTTAAACCACAATGCCTTAGCCTGTTGTTGTTTACTTTTTCTGATAGACTAACTTAAATAACTCCTCTCCCTCCCTGGTATTTATAGAGAGCAATCATATCTCCTCTCAGCCTTCTTTCGATTAGGCTAAACAAGCCAAGCTCTTTGAGTCGCCTCTCATAAGGTAGATTTTCCATTCCTAGGATCATCTTAGTAGCCCTTCTCTATACCTGTTCCAGTTTGAATTCATCTTTGTTAAACATGGGAGACCAGAGTCGCACACAGTATTCCAGATGAGGTCTCACCAGTGCCTTGTATAATGGTAACAGATATTTCCTGTGTCTACTGGAAATACCTCATCTGTGCCTGCCTAGGACTGCATTAGCCTTTTTCACATCTGCATCACGTTGGTGGCTCATAGTCATTCTGTGATCAACCAATACACCCAGACCTTTCTCCTCCTCTGTCACATAAGCTTTCGAAATGAACTTCTGATTTAAAAGATCTTGGCTATGTGCAGCGTGGAGGAAGGTTAAAATGGGAACTCTCTTATGCTATCATTAACTTATCACCTAGATATTATAAAGAAGCTATGACATGTGGAAAGGCTTGTTATTCTTTGAGCTTGGCACTGTAAAAGCACATGAAAATATGGTCCCTGCACAAAAATGAGTCTTATACATTTTTAATTACAGATTATGGAACTACTATATGTTAAATGACTTCATTTCAAAATTCTACATATTTTAGCAGTCTGGTGTTAGCTCCTTCATAAGCATAGGTCTGAACAGCATCAACTTCACAATAGAAAACCAAAGCTAAGAAGAAGTGTGAGGATATGAACTCTATCCCTTCCCATGCATCCTAACATGCCTTGTCCCCTAATGGGCCTAAGTCAGGAATTCACAGGGAAAGCAATACAATATAAGAGAAATATGATGCCACTGTTCACATCCCAGGAGCCACATCTTGAGTTTGGCCTCAAGCTGACCTTGATGTTGAGACTTACAATATCTATAGATAAACAAAACTTAGGAATGCAGGAAAAGGTTCTCATTAATGTTCAGAAAGAACAGAAATCATCGAAACATTAAACCACTACCATCAGTGATTTATTAAAGCAGCTAGAGTGCAGTATTTACAGTACTTCACCAAAACATCACATCCAGTAGTGCAGAATAAACCAACCAATATTTAAATATAGTCAGAACTCCTCTGCTCCACCCCAGATATATTTAGACTCAAGGGTTAGTTAGCTGAAAAATTGTAAGTTTAACTAAATATTGGAATTAATGGAATAATTAAATGAGTTAAAAGTCAGTTTTGTATATACTCTATGGACATTTCACAACACAGCACAGAAAGAAATTCCTCTCTGCCTTCCAAACAACTTGTCAAATTGGCTGAGTTAATGTGATTTATGAAAATTCACTAATCTCCAAATGTTTAATATTCTTCTGGGATAGTTAATAATTTATAAACGGGGGGCTAATTTCAAGTAAGTGGCTGCAGGTCCGTTTGAGTCACCTGATTACAACAGGTCTGAATCTGGCCCTGTGTCTCTTTTTGTTGTGTAGAAATAAGTATTAATAACCAAAAGGAGGAAAAGAGGAGACCTATACATGGGCTGTATACCTGAGGCTGGAAAGGACAAGGGAGGGGAAAGCCCTTTCAAGTTGACAGAACATATAAAAACGGTTTGATTCTGTTCTTAGTAATGCCTGTTGTCTTCTATGATTGCCCGGTTTGACCTCTGATGTGAAAATTTTCAGTCTTGTTCTGAGGGGCTTGAAAATTGTAAATTTCTTTCATCATATTGTTGTCAATTTCCGAATCATGGAAACCATTTTTAAACTGTATTTTGCAGTATACTACTTTCCTGTGCAGTTCTACTTGGCATTTTGAATGTATTTTGTGTGTGAATGTCGCTCCATAAATATGAGGTATGTGTATAATACCTTCTACCAGCTATTGAGAGACCATTAACTACATGATTTTTTTTAATGAGGTAGACCCTAAGCCTTAGGCACTGGTCTTGCAAATTCTGCAAGCACTGTAGTTGAATAGGAAGAGTACAGTACATGGATTTTACTATGTCTGAAGATATCTGCATATAACACGATGTGGTACTGTCTGATCAGAAATTGACAAGTACAACAAGAGATGATTTTACATGCTTTAGCTTCAGCTCTCTTGCACTATTCTACACTTATTCTCTTTAATCTCTTGGGGCCAGATTGTGTGAGGTGCTTAGAACTATCGAATCCCAATAAAATCTGTGAAAATTGAGGATGCTTGATATCTCCAATGGGACCTGCCACACCACTGGTTCTCAACCTTTTTTCATTTGTGAACCCCTAAAAAATTTCTAATGGAAGTGCAGACCCCTTTGGAAATCTTAGACACAGTCTGAGGATCCCCAGGAGTTTGTGGACCACGGGTTGAGAACCATTGCTCTACACCTTGCAACACCCACCCTTTCTTTGTCAAATAGATTGCTCTGGTGTCCATAAGAAATGAATATAATACTGTAGTACGGCTGAACAGAATCATGTTTTGCTAAACAAATTAAAAACTGATAAATTATTTACTACTTTCCACGATCTTGTTATGTGCTTGCTCAAAAATTACATGTCAGTTTACAATAAACTGATTCCTTTAGCAGATTTATGACTTTGTCGGCTCCTCATTTCATTGAATTCTTTCAAAACAGGGATGCAGATACTAAAGTGATTACTTGCACAGATTGACATTGGAGTCTGACATTAAGAGTGGGTTGAAAGGAATAGCATGGTAATGTGCAATGACTCCACAGGAATTTTTTAAGAAGAAGCCCTGCAGTATGAAATAAAAAAACCCCTCCTGGAAAAAAAATGTTATTGCAATCCCCCACACTCAACTTGGAAAATATCACTGTTGGAAGATGGAAACTTTTTTTGTTTAGCTGTCTGTATGCCATTTTTGTTACACATACAGTTAAACCAATTTAGTCAGCCATATGGCCCATGTGGTTAACTGCACAATAAAAAAAAAAAAACGTGGCACAAAATAATAATAATAAAAAAGTATTAGTTGATACTCATGAAATGCTTTTGGCTTTTTGTTTGTTTGTTTGTCTATATGTTCATAAAGTTTTACACAAATTGTTTTCCATATCTTCATATTTTTAAACTTTATTTCCACATTTGTTAAGAATTTTCATAAAATGCAACTCTGTGAATATAAAATAATATATTTTGTATTGATTTATTTTGTTAATTTTTATTTGCAACCCAAATAAAAATATGTAGACTAGCAGTTGCATTATGGTCATTGGAGCAGGACTCCCAGATATGCAGATAATCTGTGCAGCCTCTGAATGGACTGTATAAAATAAGTTTCTCTTATCATTAAAACATCGACTCTGTTTTTCTCTTATAGGTGACACAACCCTTCAAACTAAAACAGGGAACATCACAGTAGGTAGGTTCTACTTTCTCATGAAATAGGACAGCATTCTTGTATTTTTTTCCAGATAGTATTTAGGTGAAATACATAGATTATTTGTATCTTCAGTAACATATTTTGTTTGTTTTACTGATGTGATTAAAATGTTTTCTAGGATTTTTAATAAAGAATTGGTTTAGTACAGGATTGTTTCATTTTGGTTTTGCAAACTGTAAGAAATATTATAATGCTGGGAAAGATAAAGCTATACATTTAGAAAGACATCTATTCTTGTTTTAAAAATTCCCAAGTAAGGAAAATGTACCACAGCACTTGGTAATCTGTTCCAATGCTGAATTACGTTTACTATGAAAAATTTACCTCTCTTTTCCAGTCTGAATTTTACTGACCACAGCTTTCAGCCTTTGGATATTGTTATGCCTTTATCTGCTAGATAAAAGAGCTCTGAAATATCTGATATCTTTTTTGTCTGTAGATAATTATAGAACATGATCAAGTGTCTTCTTAACCTTTCATTTTGTCTTATGTTTGACGATTAAAACTGAATGGCTGGGATTTTGTCACTCACAAGTAATATTAAATCATTCTTTTATTATTTTATGTCATCTGCAAAGATGCTAGGAGCGTCTTTAGAAAATAAAGACAAAATGGTTACAGTCTAAGTGCCACTTTAATCAGTTTGCTCTTTAATTTAAGAAAAAAGACCGGGGTTAGTCTTGTCTCTGTTTCAACAAAGTGATTTTTGTGTGTGAATGGTAGAACACTGCTGAATTATCCCAATGTTCTCTTGTGATTTCGTACTGTACATATGAGTTCAGGGGCTGTTGTGACTCCTTCTTTTTGACTTCAAATCAAAATGTGCTGGGCCTGATTCATCACTGAGTTACTCCAGTTTTATGCCAGTGTAATTCTAGTGATTTCAGTGAAGTAAAACTGGAGTAACGCAGTGGTGAATCAGGTGGACTGTCTTTTTTGGATATACAATGTGAGCACTCAAGGAATTACATTTTTGTAAATGAATACAATTATGGAGCTAATTCTGAAAGGTTCTGAGTGTTTTCTGGTAGCACCAACTGATCTCAGTGACCCCACCACAGCAAGCTCCTTGCAGGATTGAGGCCTGTTAGAAATATCAAAACCTGAAAACAATAGTAATTAAAAAAACAATATCCACATTTCTTAAAAATAAAGGCGACAAATCTCCTCACAAAAGTCAGTCATGGAAACCACAAACCTAAACTCAACTTTCCAGACTCTGCTTTTCCTTCTGTCAAATGAACTGTTTGATGATGACGGTGTTAGAAGACTACAGTTTCTTAACACGGGAGGTATCACTGTCTACTAACCAGATGACGAATAGTTTCCATAGTTAACTGAACTCAGTTCTAAATATTAAGGAGTGTCTGACAGTTGAGAGCCATTTTATCTTTCAGATTTATGTGCCTTAGTGATTAGTTACATTTCACTTTTTCCTCAGGAGATCACAAAGCCATTTGTATTCATTTTCAGGCTTTGTTATGGACATTTTCAAAGGAAAAAATAACTTTTTAAAGAATCATATACACTTAGAGGACACTGGGCGAGATATGATAATACCTTTCACTTACATAGTGTCACCTCAAGCTCTTAAAGTGCTTTACACAAGTGGATAAGTATTTTCTCTGTTTTATGGGGAAACTGAGGCACAAAGTGGTTAAGTGGATTGCTAGAGCTCACACAGTGACTCTGGTCTTCTAGCGCTTAGTGCCTTCCTATAACCACTGCGCTATGTTATCTGCCTGCAAGTACATATATTTTCAAATTTTAGCAAATGAATGTTATTCCTGTTTGTATAAAGTTAGTAATACAGTAAAGTTAGTAATACAGTAAATAATAAGATTTTGCACAAACAGGAATGCCATTCATTAGGTAAAACTAGTTAATTGAATAATATACCCATTATATCTCTCAATGACTCTATAGTATCTTGCTACTTAGTGTATCCTTAGTATATACGTCAATCTCGTAGGAGACTGACTAACACAGAGGTGAGGTGTTGAACTTATTTTCAGGGTATTAATCTGTGAGACAACAGGAAATCATGCTAATCAACGATTCCTTATTCTTGCAAAATTCTGCTTTAATAGTTAGTAGGAACCAAGCAACACATATGTATTATATACTTGGTGATCCAATCATAAATTCAACAGGAACTGAGGATGTTCAACTACGTTCCCTGTAAGCTGCCTGGCCTGCTCTCCAGGGCTGCACAGGCAGGCAGGGAGAGACGCCCCTTCCCTGGCCCGGCCCAGGCTCTCCGGAGCTGCCGGGGAGAGGAGCCCTTCCCCCAGCCTGCCCAGACCCGCAGGAGCTGCTGGGGAGAGGAGCCCCTTGCCTGGCCTGCCCCAGGCCCGCCGGAGCTGCCGGGGAGAGGAGCCATTTGCCCAGCCCGGACCATGCCCACCGGAGCTACCAGGGAGAGGAGCCCCTCCCTCGGCCCGTCCCAGCCCTGCCAGAGCTGCCACTACCGGGGAGAGGCATCTGTCACCCAGTCCCAAGCTGCTGTGAAGAGAGAGGGCTGTGGGGGAAGTCCTTTCTCCCCAACGCAGCCCCAGGGCAGTATGCACCCCTAGTCCCTCATCCTTGGTCCCACCCCAGCCCTGAGCCCCTTCCCAGACCCCAATCCCCTCATCCCTGGCCCCACACCAGAGCCTGCTCCCCCAGCCAGAGACCTCACCCATGCCTCACCCCAACCCTCTGCCCCAGCCCTGAGCCCCTCAGCCCCACCCCATGAATTTTGTATGTTCACCAATGTGAAGGTGATGTGTCACACATCACCTCCATATTAATGTACATATCAAAATTCATTCCGCACATGGATGTAAAAAATTAGAGGGAATGCTGGTGTTCAACTTCTTGCAGGATTGGGCCTTTAAAATAAGCATACTGAAGCAGGAAGCATGCTTTTCTCTACAGTATGTGTTTATACAGTGCTAAGTACACTGTTAGTGATTAACAAATGTGAAATAATTTTGATGTGTTTTGAAAGTACTGTGCTGGAAACTTCTCAGTTTGGACCAAATAATATTCAGCTTTTAAATGACTTGTTAATTTAGATCAACCCAACCTTGTTTTATTTCTGATTTGATTAAATCACTGCTGAAAATGGTCCTTAAGATACTACCAGAATTCTTAACAGTTTCACAAAGGACAGCAAAGAAGGCTTTGTGTTCAGTACTAATCGTATCTTTCCAATTTACAGTTGGCACAGTCCAGTAATCATTCATTCCTTGCTGTTATGCCTTGTTCCCTTGAGGTGTTCTCTGCTGCCAGGACAAATTTCTTTCTACCATCCTACAGCTGTATTAAAAATAACATTCAAGTCCTGCTTCCCTGCATGGTAATGTTTACATTTCAGCTCCAAAATATTCTGAGATAGCAAATCTTTACTTTGAGTTTGGTCTGTTGGAAATGTGAGAAAAATGGGGAGTTCTGTGCCAACCATGCTATTTCAAATAGGAGGGCATGACCCCAGATTTTTTGTGGGATTGAAGGCAGAGTTTATTTTCAACTGCCAGCCTTATGGATTGTATTTACAGGAAGTAGGGTACTGCTTTTGAAAGCAAGATTTGGCACACAGACACAAGGAAACTCAGGAAAGAACAAATTTGTCAGGCTCATTTTCTTACACGTTTCATTGCCAACTTTTTCACCATCCTTCAAATATTGAAAGACATGAAGTGATTCTGTCCCGCTTCCTCACATCGTGACCCTCTGTCTGTACAGGACCTGGAGTCACTCGTTGCCTTGGATTTGTTGTACCTGAAATTTTAATTTCCAGTTAAGTGCTAAACATTTGTCAAAACACAGATATCTGATACTTGAAATTGGGGTACAGTACTAAAGTGAAAGTGAACTGAGCACTGCAGGTGTCCACAGTGATGTGAGAAGGTTGCTATATGTGACTATTGCTTGGAGGTTACTCAGGACTGAAAGACAATACCAAGAATTTGGTTGCAAATTCTCTCTCCTATGAAGTTGTATTGTTTGAGGAAAACAAAAAAGATGCTCAAAATATCTGCAGCATAATTGTGTGAGGAAACACCCCAAATATAAGTTGTGTAGCTCCAACAACATGCTCAGAACTGTGGGCTGATTTTTATCTCAAACCCTAACACCAGGTATGACATGCTGTAGGCTTTCAATGCCTATTTGAAAACTTGGCTGTGTCAGGATGCCCATTTCACTTCTGGGGCTTCAGATCAACATTTGGGTGCTTATGCACTGATATGAGTACCCAGGTGTGGAACTAGATGCCTATCTTAAGCATTCAAGTGTTTAAAAGTAGACCCAAGATTTTTAATTTGGTATTTTCCCCTAATAAGGATGGAAGCTCCTCCTCAGCAACTGTTCTTAAGTATTTTTATATTATTCAAGTCCACTCCTTCACTTCATCCAAATACAGCTACCAAAATAATCGTTATCACCTTCTTCCTCTTCCCTCCTTTGTCAGATACCCTCCCTTGTTGCGTCATGTTGAATTTAGACTGTGTGGTCTGGGCAGAGACTGTGCATTGAAGAGCACAGCAATACCAAAAACAAGTGTATCTGAAAACAAAAACACAGCCTCTGCCCTAGAAAAATAATAATAAAAGCACATAAGAACATACGAATGGCCATACTGAGTCAGACCAATGGTCCATCTAGCTCACTATCCTGTCTCTGACAGTGGCCAGTGCCAGATGCTTCAGGGGGATGAACAGAACAGGGCACTTTTGAGTGATCCATCCCCTGTTGTCCAGTCCCAGTTTCTGGAAGTCAGAGGCAGTCTAGCAATCTGAGTGGAGCATGGGCATAGGCGCCAACTTTCTCAGGCGCAGGTGGGTGCCTACGCCTCCTGCCCTGACTCCACCCCATCCCCGCCCCTGGCCCTGCCCCCATTCCAACCCCATCCCCAAAGTCCCTGTCCTAACTCCGCCCCCTCCCTGCCCCTATTGGATCCCTTCCCCAAATCCCCGGCCCTGCCTCTTCCCGCG